TCTCCTGTTCAGAGATCATTGTCTTTATTGATATCTTTTATTATTGTTATTGTTATTGTTATGGTCATTGTTATGGTTTATGATAATAGTATAATAATAATATAATTATTATTAATTATTATTATTATTATATTATATTATTATATTATATTATTGTTGTTATCATAATTGCTATTCGTATTTTATTTGATTATATTTTTGTTGATATATATTTTATTTTCTTATCATTATTATTATTATTATCATATCATTATCATTATCATTATTATTATTTTATAGTTTTCTTTGTTGGAAGTAATTTTAAGTCTTGTTTGCTGTATTTTTCCTCAATCACTATATGATATACACATCTAAATCCAAATCTTAATCCTTGTCCCACACAAATTGCAGAACCCCCACCCCCCACCCCCACCCACCCCCAAAGACGTTTGCCCCCCCTCCTTCCTTTAAGAAAGCCACTACCTGTCGGAAAGAGGAAGAGAAGGAGAGAGGAATATAAGAAGAATAAGAAGAACTAAAAAAGAGAAAAGAAAAATAGAAAAGAGAAAGAGAAAAAAAGAAAAGGGAAGAAAAGAAGAAGAAAAAAGGAAAAGAAGAAAAGACCGCAGAAAACAAGAAAAAGAGAAAGATAAAAGAAACAATAAAAAAGACAAAAGAACAAAGAAGAAAGGAAGAGAAAAAGAAGAAGAGAGGGAAGAGAAAAAGAAGAAGAAAAAGAAAGGGGAGGAGGTAGGAACCGCCGCGGGTGTCGCCTCGTGCCCCTCGACCAGGCTCTCGCCGCCGCTTGTGCACCTGTTACCGGGAAACCTGGCGCTGGGGTGTGTGGGTGGGGGGGGACTCTCAAACCTAGGGGCTTATTGACAGGTGATGTACGAGGGGGGGGAGGGCTTTAGGTTGGTGGTGGCGTTGGGGAGGGAGAGAGAGAAGACGGTTGGGTTTGAGGGATAGAAAACAGGCAAAGACAGAACAGATGACTGTCTGACCCACTGGTTGACTGACTCTGATTCACGGATTCATTCACAGCAGACAGACACACAGACAGGCAGACAGACACACAGACAGGCAGGCAGGCAGGCAGATAGAGACAGACAGACAGATAGACTGACAGGTAGATAGAGACAAACAGGCAGACAGGTTTGATTTGAATGATAGGTGGCGTAGGAGTTCGAGGGAGCAGCAGGGCTTTGGGAAGATCGAGGCAGCCAGTGCAGAGAAGTAGACAGTGACAAAGACTTAAAAAGGCAAGAGGAGAAATTCACAAGAAAGAGAAACTGGAATGAAAGGGAGGCAAAACTCTGGAGAAAAGAGGGAAGGAGGAAACAAGAACCATGGCTTAGAAAGAGGAGGTGAAGAAAAGGAGAAAGATAAAGAAAGAGAAATTGAGAAAGAAATAAAGATGAGAAGAGAGAAGAGTAACAAAGGGATCCATCCAAAAGACATTAGCCATTACTTGAATTACTCTCAAGGGGGAGCCCGCGGAGGCACAGGGGGGAGGGGAGAAGATTAGGAAATGGCGTCTTGATCTTCATGATTGGCATTAGATTGAATTCGGGTGAATATTTGGGAGAACCTAAAAGAAAAAAGGAGAGTATGAGGAATGCTGGGAGGGGGGGAGGGGATTGGGTGAGGGGAAAGGGAAAGGGAGGCATTTTGGACGTTTTGTAGTTTCTAAATGGATGGAGGTTAAACGTTGGAGGGACGGCAAGCGTGAGGGAGGTGATGGAGGAATAATGATTATAATGATAATGATAGTAAGGGTAATGATGATAAAGATGATGATAAGGATAAGGATAATAATGATGCTGATTTTGATGATTTTGATGATAATATTAATAATAATAAATACTAATAGTAATAATGCTAGAAGTAGTAATGATAATGATATTAATAATGATGATAATGATAATAAGAATGATGATAATGATAGTGATAATAATAATAATGAGAGGGAGAAGAAGGAGAAAGGGAAGGGGAAGACGAAGAGGTGGTGATGGTAATCACTCACCAACAAGAACACCACCAACAAAATTCAATAAAGAAAGATTCAGAACACAAAGCAGGGAAAGAAAGAAAAAGAAAATAAAGTAGATATGGAATAATCAGCAATAGGAGAGAGAAACGAAAGCGTAGACAGCCGAGGAGCAGTAAAGGAAGGCAAAGAAAGACAAACAACAACCGGCGTAATAAAGAGGAAGGAAAAAACGCGCCTCTCGTGCGCCCGTTTTCGTCGCCGTGAAATATGGACGCAGTTGAAATGACGTTTTCCTCTTCTCTCCTTTTCATCTCTTTCGCTTTCTCTTGCTCGTGCCCGTGCTGGTGAGCGTGTGTGTGTGTGTGTGTGGTTGTGTGTGTGTGTGTGTGTGTGTGTGTGTGTGTGTGTGTGTGTGTGTGTGTGTGGTGGTGTGTGTGCTTGTGTGTGAGTGTGTGTGTGTGTGAGAGAGAGAGAGAGAGAGAGAGAGAGAGAGAGAGAGAGAGAGAGAGAGAGAGAGAGAGAGAGAGAGAGAGAGAGAGAGAGAATTTTCGTGTTCTCAGACATAAAGCATCCAGCATAAAAAAAATCTATGTTCCTGCAGAGTCTTGCGCCGGGGATCGTTTGCTTGCGGAGTGCTGCAGTATTTAGCGCTTTCTATGATAATGCGCATGCGAGGAAAACCTTTTTCTCCTTCTTTGGGCGGGGGAGAAGAGAGGGAGGAGGGGGGGAGGAAAGTTGCGTCGAAGAGCCGGGAACGGGCGGAAGAGTTTTGCTTGAGGGAAGAAAACTGCGAGGGTGTTTGCTTTTTGAAATGGCATAGAAAGGGTTGTATGGAACGTGATATAGAAAACGTTTGCGTTGTCTTCCCGTGGGAAGCGACCGAGAAGGGCGTTTTATTTGGAGAGTTACAAGTGATAAGTATTATTTT